TGTGTGTGTGGTGTGTGTGTGTGTGTGTGTTGTGTGTGTGTGTGTGTGTGTGTGGTGTGTGTGTGTGTTGTGTGTGTGTGGGGTGCCTGAAGCTGATGGCTGATGGAGAGATGGAGCAAGCCAGAAAGGGAGGATCCCGCTCGCTCCGGTGAAAAAACATTCCAGGTCAAGAAACAAACCCAAAAAAAAACAAACAAACAGCAGATTGAAGAAACTGACATGCGAACCGGAAACTGGAGCGGTGTGTGCGCGCCGACTCTGTGTGTTGTGTGTGTGTGTGTGTGAGGATGGCGGATCAGTTGGATGTGATCGGAATATAATCGGATCAGCATGTATTTGTTGTTTGTTATGAGGCCGGATGTTTTGTGTACCGGCCAGCAGAACAATAATGAAACCAATAAACAGTAAACGGCCCGACGGCAGGATGAGGCGGTTCAAGGGGCTGGTTAGAGGGTGGGAAACTTGTGCACTGAAGGCGAAAAATAATAAGTGCTGCTCCACAGGCATCCGATCCGTGTTTCAAATAAAAGAACTACTGTAGCATGTCTCTAAAATAAAATAAACCCAAGTGTTTTAAGCAGACACACCAGTTTTGTTTGTTTACAGCGACAGCATAAAATACAAACACCGTCTCACCATCCGCAACAGTAGAACACAGGAAGTGTCGATGCAGGTGGTGAAGCAGCAAGGGATCATGGACGTTGTTGTCTTCAACCAAACCTTTCACTTCATGTTTCTCTGATACTTGGACTGCCGGCTAAAGCTAACCAGAGCCACTCGGTTCCCAACCTGAGGGTCCGGGGCCAGCTGGGGGTTCGGCAGGCTCCGATGTTAAGGACTGTAAAATTACACAACAGTGGGCCGATATCCCTACCCAGCGATTAAACTATGTAAAGTTAAGCAGTTGTTTTTTAAAGTGTATAATGAACATTATTATTATATTATTTAAATTATGTTGATCGCAGCTCTCTCTTTCTCTCTTCCTCCACAGCGCCACCTGCTGACCTGGAGTCAGTTCAACAGCTTAAAGACTCTAATCAACAGTCAGTGCTGCTGTTCATATCACTTCTCCTGAGTCAGAGGAGGGCGGCCATCCTCCTCCATCCTCCCCTAACCTACTCACTATGTTTACATTGTTGCGCAGTGGTTCGGACTTTAGATGCTGTAGAAGCAGCAGACTGCAATCTTTACCTTGATCNNNACACACACAGTTAGCCTCTCTGAGCTGCTAGCTCAGCTACAGCACGATGGTCTCTGTGGTTAACGATCAGGTTTATTGATCAGAAATGTTGTTGGTTGTTGTGTGTCAGAAATAAACAAACATGAAACCTGAGTGTAAATATTCTTTATGTGAAAATACAGATTTCAGTTGAGTTTGAACGGACAAATATAAAAATATAACACTGGTTACGACCGCTGACACGTTGCACTTAGAGATGAATGCTTCCCTTCATACGGATTTGTACATTATTGATTACGCGGAGCTGAACGCCGGGTTCACAAAGTTCCCTTCGGCGTCGTCGTTCTCGGCGAAGTCTTCGGGGTCGAGATCGGCCTCGAACATCCGCTGCAGCAGAGCGTCCACCGTCCGATACCCTGGAAACACAGCCCGCCAATACCGACAATCAATACTGCGATCGACAGTGAGATTAAAATGTTCCTACAGAGGGCGCCACACACCGAGGCAGCGCTCCGGTTTCGGTCTGTTTCTTACTTTTTGAGGCGATCTTAAACATCAGGGCGGGTCTGTTGTCCACCGACTGACCGGCTCCCTGGTCGTTGTCGATGGTTTCCATGGCGTTCACCAAGTTGTCCTCCAGCTTCTCCCTGATGGACGAAAACAAACAAATAAAATAATACCAATATAATATTGTGATAATATAATATTCATAGGTGTGTTTTTAATAACCTGAGAATGTTTTTATCTACAGATCCACCATGTTTCTACAGAGGCCCAGAACGGACAAACCAAACACGGACTCTATGGAGGGTCTTCAGTGTTCCTCACCAGACAGCCTCCAGACCACACTCACAATAACATGTTCACACTTCCAGCTGTACTTTAAATTCATTAATAACTAATTATTAAGGATTAAAGGAGTCCTTTATCAGGAATTAATGGACGTTTCTAAAGTACACTTTATTTATGTTTATATGGATCCACACGTTTAAAGTTTAATGTTAGAAAATGTCTCCAGCTGTTACACTGACAGATGCTAATCTGCATTAATAATCAGCCATGTGGACAATGGAGGAGGTTCTGGGGGTTATTGAGGATGCTAACACTACAAGATAGAGTTATTGATATGATTAATACTCAGTGTGATTGGTGTGAGTGACGTAACATTTCTTCAGATATCTTCGGTTCTGACATTTAAATAACCTCAAAATTAATCACAATTCTGTATTTAGGAAATGTCAGAAATGGATTCAGGATCAATAACTTCCAATATCGTCCACACAGCTGATATAATGCTAACTGCTGTACGCTACATGCTGGGGACTAAACTGAGGATTTAGAGTTCAGGGCTCTAATCAATTCAAAGTGACCGGTTGTCATGGTAACGTACTGTTCCACAGCCAGCTCCAGTTCCTCGATCTTCCTCTCCAGAGACGTCTGCAGGTCGCTCTTATCCACCGAATACTCCACGAAGAACGCCTCCAGCACGAACGCCACGAAGATGCTGAAAGACAACAGGAAGTCAAACCACGGACACGATGACGACGCCGGCGAAGACGGGCTGATACTGTTAGTCTTACTTGATGATGATGATAACAACCATGATGTGGAAGAGGATGAAGAAGATCCTGGCCGACACGTGGGTGACGGCAGCGAAGCCGCTGCTGAGCAGTGGAGTCCCGTTAAGGAATCGAAGGACAGGTTGTTAATTTTATTATATTTCATGATTCTGCAACAATCGCCGCCCCCCCCCCACTGATCTCCATTAGGAACAGGAAGTTGTTTGGCTCGTCAAATCACAAGATGTAGGTCAATTCAAGGTTTCTGCATGTGGGATGTGATCACAGCGCCACCTGCACCTATATTTATATCTCCTGAGGAAACAGCGAGTCATTGCTGAGTCTGTTCACGTCTAAAGAATATTATCAATAATCGGTGCACACTGAACACTGGTGTCACATTAATGGCCACAAGGTGGAGCTATTGGTGCCATGCGTCAGTATCTAGTAGCTGTATTCAAAGTTTCATCTTATTAAAGACAACAGAAATATACATTGTTAGTGTAGAAGAAATCAGAAATATGTTTTTAAAGTTATACATCCTGTGGTATTTAAATTGTGATTATAATTCAGTTATAAATTATTACGTCTTTCCTCTGCCTCCATACAGCTGTTAGATATTGAGACAGTACTAGCTACAGTGACGTACGAGCTCTTTAAATGAAGTATTTTCTGGCTTTCGTTCTCACTGCGTTACTGTGATCAGTGTAGCCAGCGCCGCCACCGGTCAGGTGTGCGTGAGGCGTTCAGGTAAAGGATATCGTGCCACTGGTTGACCACGGTGAGCTCCACCAGCAGGATGAAGGACGACACCACGTTGTTGAAGTTGTTCTTGCAGTAGTTGAGCTGAGCGAAGTCCGTTCCGTTCAGCGCAGCGTTTCCACAGAACGCCTTGTCCGGGTCGGTGGAGCTCTCCTCGTAGAACTTCACCTTCCCTTTGAACAGCTCCATCCCCACCATGGCGAAGATATAGTACACCACCTGAGGAGGAGGAGGAGGAGGAGGAGGAGGAGGAGGAGGAGCTTCACTACGACCACCAAATTAGCTCTGGTTGTGTGTGTTGACTGTTGATGCTATCTAGCGACCAGCACCAACAGACCGCAGTGACCTGTAGGATTTGACACGCCCACTTTGGTTCGCAGGCGCCCCTTTAGGATGAATTAGAATAACTTTATTGATCATCTGACATTTCAATGTGTTCAATACTTTGGTTTAACACCTATAAAGCTCCATTCCCATCAGCCTCAGCTGCACTTTACTTACTGCGTATTAGCTCCTGTTAGCATGCGAACATGATAAACATTCTGCATTCACGTGGATTCAGACGGACAGCACTGTATTTTAATTGTTTTAATGTAGAAATTTACTCCTCAGTATTAAAACTGTGCCTGCTCCTAAAATCGGACTATGTATCAGCTTTTTTTGGGTAATAAAATCACTTTTAGTTGATGCTGTATTTTACCAACTTACAATAATTAACTGTCCAAACGTGAGGATCGCAGGTCCAATCCTGATCAGGGTGTTGATGATCGCCCGAAACCTGACGGAGAAAAACAGTCACAGACACACGATGAGTCAAAGTGCATTTCCTGATCGGCATCCAATGGTTGCTATGGTTACCTGCAGGTCGATATATGTCTATATATATATATATATGGGAGTGTTTATTAATATATTAATAGAATATATAGAATCAAACCTTTTGATGCTGTCGACGACCCGGATCAGTCTGAGGACTCTCAGGATGAAGACGATGTCCAGGATCTGACGGCTGGTGTAACCGCCCGCTGCAACAGGACGGGAACGATCTATTAGACAGGTGTATTGTTTCCACGGAGACTGTGGGGTTGAGGAACCGAGGAGTCCGGTACCCAGGAACCGGTAGGTAGTCCGGTACCCAGGAACCGGTAGGTAGTCCGGACCCGTCCGAGGAGCAGATCAAACAGCACTTACTTGATTTCATGGCGGAGTTGATGATCGTGGCGATGAGCGCTGAGACGACGATGATGGTGTCGAACCTGAAAACAAAACAAACATCAGAAAACGAACAACAAATATTTTCCTCCAACAGCTGAAAGCACAAACACCATCAGACCTCCATCATATTCAGCCAACAGGACACTACAGCACAGTTACCGGTCGTCCTATCACACGTTTAACCAGTGGAGGTTTATGTTTGTAAAACTTTGCCAGCGCCTACAATGAGCGCAGCAGAAGAAAGGCTAATGAGCATGTGCAGTGAGCACAACATGGAAGCAAAACCCAGAAGCTAGAAAACTGTTGGCTTTATGCGCTCGGCGAGCAGCTTTCGTCCAAACGCCATGTTTGAGTCTGTGATCCCGTTCTCATGAAGACATCCATCTGTGCCTGGAGCCACTGCAGCGGCACTGCTCATCAGCAGGGGGCGCACAGCTGTAAGGAAATAAAAGCAGCTGCAGCTTTCAGATGGGTTCACACACTTTATCAGGTCCACCTCTTTAATCCAGTTTAATGTCAGAAATGTTCAGTTTGGGTCTCCAGCAGTTTCATACTGAGGCTAACTTGCATGTTGGACAGTTAGCATAATTAGCATTAATAATCAGCTATATGGACAATATCTGGTTATTGAGGAAGCTAAACATACAATATGGAAGATTAAACCAGAAGTGGACATATTTTAACTCCCAGTGGGCTGATTGTCACTGAATTCAAATGAGGTGCAGATTTATAGTGAAATGACTGCGTATATCGTCTGGATGCTGTGTGGGATCAGTTGTTCAGGTGTACCTAATAAAGTGGCTATGGAGAGTCTGAAAGTAAAAGCTAAAACCATTTAAATGTTTATCGGAGCTTCCACAGTATCAGTTTCTGACCTCTCAAATGAAAACAGAGAGAGCCTCGAGTCCATTTATAGAGGCTGTTACACACAAACAGTTGCCTAAATGGTGGTAAAATGTGAGTATTTCCCAACTAAAGTCTGGATTCAAAGAGAAATGAACACAGATCTGATTGAACGGGTCCAGATAATCCCGGTTTATGGTTTTTACTTTCAGACTTTTTGACCATAAACGACCTCCAGAAGCTGTTTGACCTCCTCATGTGAACAACAAACACAATAAATCCGTCGACCTGCCGCCTGAAGCCTCAGCGAGCCGGTCCAAGCGCCGCCAGGCTGAAGATAAAGGAAGCAGCAGCTGATGGGAACGTGTGTGACCTACCTGGTGCTTATAATCTGCGCCGTAGATAAACTGTGTGAACACAGCGCAGTGAGTTTAATCTCTGCACAACACTTTCAAACACAGGTTAACATTGCACTACATCATGAGATCACGTGACTTCCTGAAGTCACTCTAACAGACGTTAAATGTGAGCAGGTTGCTGGTTCACCTGGTTCACCTGTTCAGTTTCCATCTAAAATCACTCACATACGGAAGCTCAGAGAGGCAAGAGAGAAAAATAAATTCTAAATCTTGTCTGTTTGATGTGTGAAGAGGAGGAAAATAAAAACAATCTTTATAAATCTGTTTATTTTCTGTTAGTTGTTTGTTGTTGTAATACTTACTTCGGCCTCTAGAGGCGTACGTGCACCACTACCACCTCTGTATGAGTGCTTTGGGTCCTGTACTGACGAAGCCGTTCTCTACTACCTGTTTATTTATCTCCTGCAGCTGTAAGTATGTGTTATAAATGTGTTATAACACATTTATAACGAGTCAACCAAGTCTGGACACGTCCTTACCACTCTCCCCCCACTTTCCTTCACAAACAGGATAGAAAATAATTCAGATCAAACCAGCTCTCTTGCCTCTCAGGGCTTCCGTACATACACACAGATGATTGAGTGACTCTGCTGCTCTACCCAGAATCCTTTGTCCTCACCAGTTCCAGAAGCTGTGCCTGGAGAAAAAGGCTTTGGGCTCGAACACGTAGAGCTTGAGCAGGATCTCCATCAGGTAGAGAGCCAGAAAAACCCACTCGGAGTTGGAGACCAGCGGGTTCTCCTCGTCCAGACCGATGAACACTGCGTTCACCAGGATGATGAGGTCGTACACGATGACGAAGGCCCTGAAACGCACACAGCAGACGGGCTTCTGCCGCCTCAGATTAAACGTCCGGAGAATAAAAGCTGACGGACACAAAGAACGTTCGCTGGGTCTCACCGGTGTTGGACCAATCGGCAGAGGAGGCGACTGGGGGCAGACAGGTAGAGGGCGGGGCACGCACTCTGGAGCGGGTGCGGCCTCGATTTGAGCGTGATCACCTCGATGTTCAGGAGGTCGACCAGCTGGACGAACGCCACTTTACCTGTCAAACAACCAACCAAAGAGGTAAAATAACAAACAGTGTATTGAAGCCTGCGGCAGTGCCGAACGGGCCCTTTCACCTCGCCGCGGCCACAGGGTCAATGCCAGAGGTCGGTTAAATGTCACTTCCTGTGTCCAATACTCAATATGTTTTTACTCCAACTTTAATCTCATTTATCTCTTTTGGCCCTAATCTGCTTCCGCACCGGACTGACATGTGCTGAGGGTTTATGGTGCATTCAGGTGCTGCTTTTCAACTCGTAAAGTCTGAGATGTCAGAGTTTACCAGCAGGAAGTCCCAGAAATAAACAGGGAGCATTCCTGTCAATAAACTCTGTGTAAACAGACGCTCAGCAGTTACTGACTTCACTTTATGACTGCTGCTGACTTACAGTTAATATTCACCCAGAACGGATCAGGTGAAAACTTACAATCCAACAAGTTCAGCAGCTGTGTGTCTTTATTACTACCTACTAACTGCAATGGGAAACTATTTCTGTATCATTTAATATCCTGGTGGAGGTTGAGGCATGATGAGGATTTTACAGGCTGATCTCAGTATTTTTATTCTAAGTGGTAAAAAAAACTGTTTTAGAGGAACTTATACATTTAATTATTAATATTTCTCCATCAGAATTTAGTGCTTTGAAACAGCAGTTAAACATTAATGTTGGGGAATATAATAATAATAATAATACAGTTTAATTATTATTAACTATTATAGGAGGAGTTTTTTCTCAGAACTCGGTGATGAAACAGACTTCCTCTGTGGTGAAGATGCGTGACTCAGCAGAGGGCTGAGAGCGGCTGCGGTTGTGACGGTGCAGATCGTGGCGGTCGCCGAGTGGTGGTTTTTGTATGGTTAATGTTAGCTAACACGGACAAATTGCTGGCTTCCTAACAGAAAGACTGTTTGCATTACATCTTTTATTTTTGGCCAAAATCATAAGTTATTATCAAGACTCACGTTAGCTGGGCAAGCTAATGTTAGCCAACTAACAGACTCACTCAGACAGCATTTTTCTAGCGATAACGTTAACAAGCAAGCTGCATGGTAATAGTACAAAGCTAACAACCTTTTTCACAGCAGGCATTTTGACATTAGGGTAAACAAAAGTGTTACCAATGACACTAATTATGGTTCTGTTTCATTTCGTGTAGCAGAACCTTTCCAGTGAGTCAAAACGCACAATAGCAGCGCCGTGACTCCGTCAGACCAACCGGGACCCGACTCAGTTCTGGTTCAAGACCAGAGCGTTTCGGTCGCAGCTGTAACCAAAGTGGGCATCTCAGTTTCTACAGGTTGTTGTGCGGCGCCCTCTGGTGATGAAGCATTTCCACTCAAAACTGGTGGAAACTCGGGCGGGTTACAGATGTGTTTACCCTACTATTTCATGTGTGCTGCTGTGAAGAAGGTCTATAACCATCAGAAAACATCTGATTCGGCGACCCACCGATGTAGCCCTGGTTCTTGTCGTCAGCGACTCTCCACAGCAGCTCCCTGTGGGCGTTGCTGATGTCGGGCTGAACCAGACGAACCATCTGGTTCCAGTTAGCCTGGCTCACCACCGGCTGCCCGCCCTCCTCCCTCTGCTCCTGCAGCACAGCGAACGCTCGCGCCATCTTGTGCCTTTTGGCCCTCACCAGCTGCCGTACCTCCTCCTGTTGGACAGAGAGGAAGAGTTATTGATCGGCTGATCAGCTGACGATGAGTCACAACGTCGACGTTCGTGTCCGCAGACAAACCTTCACAATAAAATACAATAAAAAAAAGATTTTACTTGACCAAATCTAAACCTTTTTATATTCATGACTCTTTAAACAATGAAAGCTGAACAAAATGATAAATAATATCATAATAATGGATGTTACTTACTGAACTCTTAAAGACGGATATCTTCATACAATCAATATTTTGTTTATTATCTGTATTTATTTGAATTTTCTCTGTAGTTGAATATCCAAATGTCTGTCTGCAGCATGAAGACGGTGAACCTGCTACAAACATTGTTTACTTTCCCTCTCTGGATGTTTACAGTTCTGTTCTGTCCAATGAAACGAGAGACTGTGTCTTACTCCTTTATCATTATTACTACTCAGTGTACCTTTTCTCTTACTGCTGATACACTCGTCTGTATTGTTATTTTGGTTGTTTTGTTATTATTTTGTTATAATATATGTTAATAAAACTTTTGCAAACTGTGCTTTACATGTTTATGCACCTCCGAGCCACCGTACATGAGGATGAAATGGTCAATAAAAGTCATGAATTCATCGTATTAGTCTGAATACAGGGACAATATATTTTCTAGAAATGACATCGTCTTGCAGTCTCAGCAGCTCTTACAGACAGTATTGCATTATGGGATGCTTGTTGCTTTAATGTTGTGCTGCTGTGTCACTTTAATTGCACAATAACAAAATCTAATCTTTGGTTTCAGTTTAACCTGCAGCCGCATGGCGCTCAGCAGACCGCCGTACCTTCAGGTATTTTTTGTAGTTGTTGTAGACGACGGCCAAGAAGACGGACATGAAGATGTAGGTGTTGATGAGAATGTACAAGATGAAGAAGATGGCGAAGACGAAGCTAGAGTTGTACGCCGGCATCCTGCCAACGAGAAGCAGAAGGTGCACAGATAAGAGTTTCTGACAGTCACTTCCTTCTTCTTTTCTCTAACGCTCCGTTTGACCGCAGATGCACACAAACTCGAAGGATACATGGACATTTTTCTCGCTGTGTGAAAATCTTTCTGCTGCCTCATTGACTTCCTCCTTTTTTAAATAAAGAAGTCAGAACCAAAATAAAAAGAGACATAGAATTAGGAAACATTTTGTCCTGTTTCAGAAAGCACTGACAGTGACTGTAGAGGAGGTCAGAGGTCAAATCTGACCTCAGAGCAGCCGGCTGATGAATTCAATTAAGGTCTTACATAACGTCGGGGCTGTTGGCCGTGGTGACGAGGACGTACAGATCGAAGACGATCTCCAGGTAGTTGGTGAAGTACGGAGCTCCGTTGATCGTCTTCAGGCCTCTGCGCGCGCGCACACACACACACACACACACACACACACTTGAATTATAAAAATCTTCAAAAGCTCTTTAACAGATTCATTTGAATCAATGTGAATCGACCAGTTTGGAGCACGTCACGGTTACATTACTGCGGTTGAGCCGGTCGAAGCGCAGACAACTTTTAATCCTGATGGTCCGATCAACCAGTTGGACCCAAACCCAACAGGAAGTTGATCGGACCAACGTGCGTGTACTGATTTTCATACATACTGGTGAAAAGTACCTCAGGATGTGCCTGTAGGTGGCGCCGTCGAGCCGTTTTCAGATAGTCTCAGATAGTATTTTGCTAGCGGTAATGTTAACGAGCAACATTATCCAGCTATATGAGTGGCTAACGTTAGCTAGCTTTATCCAGACTCCCGGGGATAATCTGGCTGG